ACAGTTTATTGCTGGGAAACGTTGGGGGGGGGAGAGGAAAAGGTTTAATTTTTAGGAATTTCCAACACTTCGCCGTATCGTCGTTCTGATATGAATAGCCAATCAGTTTCTTCTTGGCGCCAAGCCCCTTGAGACTCACGACCAGTAATTTTATTTTGAACAGAACATTTCCAGTCATAATCCTTATATAACGTCCTCTCTGACGAGAGGGTGGGTCTGTCATTTACAATTGCTGCTGGTCCTCACCAGCGGAGCCATTCTCGGGTCCGAGTCCCACGGGACTGAAGGCCATATTTTACTGTCTCAGATTCGAGATTCCCCCCAACCTCGTATTTATATCCCCCAGGAACAGGGTGGTCCAGTTAAACCCCCAAGCAATTGGTTCCCTTTTCGTCGCCTACAAATCGCTGGCCTAAGGTGAAGATATTCGAAACTGCCCTTTCGTCCTTCTGATTAAATTTAACCAAGAATAAAACTTCTAGTACGTACCGATAAGAAAACACGAAGCTTCAGACACGCTGGTTAGTAGCATACTGGGCCCCACGCGGCCCAGGGTGCGTCCAACATGTTCCGCATGAGTTTCGTCTTTGCGTCTCTCCTCCCGCTGATGTGTCTGCACTAGAATGAAGATGTTATCCACACCGACCGCCAGTACCAGAAACGGTATTACCTGAAAATTTGTATATGCCTGTTTAACCGTGACATCACTCACATCAGGAACAGCCGGGGGAAGTCATCCTACCCGCAGGACCTTCCTCTTCAATACACTTTAACATTATTCTGTATTTACGCATGTATAGGCCGCACATTTTTTGCCAAAAATTCAAGAGGAAAACTGGGGTGCGGCTTATATTCGAAATATTCGAAATCACACACATTTTTTTNGGACGTCATCCTACCCGCAGGACCTTCTTCTGCAATACACTTTAACATTATAAGTTATTTTCACAATATACATAAAATGAACGCATAATGGTGTAGTCGTCAGTCTTAATACACATTTCCAAACCCAAATTACGTACTAACAAAAACAAACTCCGTGGCCTGTAATCCGCTAGCGAACTATACCGACTGAGCGACCGCCGCTTGTCGGCGAAGTTAATGCCAACTTTTGCGGATAGAGGGTGTCGCTTGATAAGCGCAAGAAGTGAATTGTTTTAAAAACAAGTTCTATCTTCTCCAATATAACGCTGTGTAGTCTAAAGTCAACCAACGTTTAGACGGAATATATTGCTTCCACGTTCAGGGTCGAAGAATAAGCCAAGCAAGAAACCACGCAAAGCAGGTAGCAAGCATTGCGGATCCTGAAGATCGAGGACACATTCCTCCGAAACGTCGGTCGGCTTTCGTCGGACTACACGACGTTATATCACAGAAGATAGAACTCTTCATAATCACCGCTGTGGGAATAAAAATCGTACAAACTGTTTTATTATTGAATTATGAAATTGTAAAGCTATTCCTGTAACAGGCCGTGGAGGCCCATAGGGTTGTGAGACGTCGAGGCTCCCACATTTTCTCTAGACAGTCGGTTCACAGATGACGGTAAGGTTGTTAACCTTACACGCCGGCCGCCCTTCACCCCCCAGGAAGATTTCTGTTAGAGGCTGAGTCGACCCCAGTGCCTCAATGCGGCTGGAAGGATTAGGTGAATAAAAAAATCCACCTCATCGGGACTAGAGTCAGGACATTGTAGAAGAAGGAAGATGAGAAGGGCCGCTCCATAGCTCAAGCGGTTAGTCGCTGGCTTCCCACCACGGCGGCCCGAGTTCGATCCCGGGTCTGGTCAAGTGGGATTTGTGGTGGACAAAGTGGCGCTGAGGCAGTTTTTCTCCGAGTACTTCGGTTTCCCCTGCCAATCTTCATTCCACCAATTGCTCCACAGTCACCCTCACCTATCATCTGGGGCTGGTACAATAGGCCAGAAGTGGCCGCAGTACAAGGGACTTAGTCCCACCCCACTAGCAATAAAAAAAGAAGATGGGAGTGGGAGGGAAGAGGAAGGAAAAGATAATTGGCAGAGGGTACGGTAATGAAGAAAAGAAACAAGTCAGAATTACTGGGTTTTTGGACTTTCTCCATCGGCCGGTATTCAAAGAACTAGAGAACACAAAATTTTGGGAAACTGGATCTGTTTCCGTCGTGAGGTGAGGGGCCCAGTCTCTGCAACGTTGTGTTCTCCAGTTTTTAGTATACCGGGCGATGGACAAAAACACAAAAACCCAGTAATTCTGAGTGTTATACACCATCGTCAGAACACTTTAGAAGACTTATGAAAGGGTCAAAAAAAACAAGATTTGTAGGAGCCGACGTAGGTCAGTCAATGTGATTAGTGACTAAGTGTTGGAAGATCTTGGTTCGACCTACAGGAGTGATATGATTTTTGTCTTCATTAACATGTTCTTCTTGACTCTGAGACATACTCCGTTTCTTAGCCAATTGTTACAGAGGACTCATTTCTATGTGATAAAACAGCTGGGGCGTGAATCTGAATGCTCACTTCCATCTACTCTCAACGTTAAAAACTAGTATATATTTCCACTCATTCATTAATCGTAACGGCGTAATGATTTACCTTCTTAATACTAGAAATGTCGCTTGTAATTCCTACAGTGTCTCCCCCCATTTTAGATTCTATGAGCTGGTTTTCTTTTGTGGCTAAATAGCATCAGTAAAATCTGATAAGTACCTCAAACGCAGAAATAATTTCCCTTCAAAAGTTTCGTGACTACGTAGTTCAGATAAATCACCAACAGATGTCACATGCTGTCAGGTGTAACAGTGTTTTTGTAAACGTAATTTTCGATATTTGGCACTTGTAGGACTAAACTTCATATGCAGTAGGAAAGTGAGCTTTATGAGTTCTGTACGGAACTCTCTGTTACTTAAATACTCAGTATTTTAAGTGTTAAAATCCTCTGTAGGCCAGTCCCCGATTTCACGATTCTGGCATCCATCTTGATATAAGTCCCACTTACCTCTATAGTCAGCAGTGTCGTTGTGACGCCGGCGTACCCGAATATACCGAGGGTACAACCGACGGCCATGAGCACTATCACAATGCCTCCTACCCCGAGCGTCACCTTGCTGTCCACCTGTTGAGAACAATAGGAAGATTCAGTTGAGGACAGTTTAATGCAAATTGATGTACTCTTATTTAATAGTGATTAATAGTTTTCAGTTTATTTTCACTAACTCCGTGGCCTGTAGTCCGCAGGCGAACTATACCGACCGAGAGACCGCCGCTTTTCGGCGAAGTTAGTGCCAACTTTAGCGGATAGAGGGTGTCGCGTGCTCAGCGCAACGAATCCCCACGGCCGTTAATTTCGATTTTCTACACCGGAGCCGCTACTTTTCCTTTAAAGTAGCTCCTCAGTTGTCTTCACGAGGCTGAGTGGACCCCGTTCCAGATCCACTACTTCTCAGAAAATCTGGTAGCGCCGGGAATCGAACCCGGAACCTCTGGATCTGTAGCTAAGTACTCTGATCACTAGACCACAGAGGCAAATCGAGCTAGTTATGGCCTAAAGAAACAATTAAGTTCACCATAATATGGAGACAGACAAATATAATAATATAAGACGCTTGTAAGGCCTATATTTACCTATTCAAGTGAAAACTGGTCCCCAAAATATGCTCAAAATCTTTGAAAGAAGGATATTAAGAAGAATTTATGACCTAGTTATGGAAATCGGTATATGGAGATGAAGGTATAACATGAACTTTATAAATTTGATTTGTTTCATTCTGGTCCGTCACACTAACAATTATAAATATAAACCACTCCGTCCAATGTGACATATAAGTTTTTACTACATGAAAACTTATAATAAATAGTCACACATTTGAAAATAAATGTAAGAAACCGTATTTACGATAGTGACCTAAGGTCTCTTTTACTTATTTCAACTTAGTTGCCACAGATCCTTCTGAAAATAGATCGCCTGTATAAGATCCATTGGCATGCAGTTGTTTATTGGCCCAACCAAGTCCAGTAAACTGCTGATGACCCTCGCCAACAAAGTCATTCTTGATTTCGGACCCCGTCGGAACCCATGAACATAGTTTTCTTTCCAGACTTTTAAATGTTTTGAAATGGTGTCAGAGAACGACGGTCATTCTGTCAGATTGACCTGGATTGCTCACCAGAAGAGTCTTGAAGCTGCGGAACTGCCCCAGCGCCACGGCGATGTACGCGAACATGACCACGTAGCTAATGACTACGGTCACAATCTCAGCCTCAGATTCCCTTTCTAGTTCATCTTGAATCGAGCGCTCTGCAGAAAATGCGACTGACATGAAGTCTGGCATCTCTTTCTCCGTCCAGTTCTTCATAAACTCCACGAACCTGCAATACATCATTATTTTTATACAGGGTGCCCGGATGAAAGGTATCCAAAATAAAAAATGAATATCTAGGAAACTAATTGTCATTCACGTATCCGGTTTATGTCATCGGAAAGGAAAACTCTGAAAGTTTTTTTTTTCGTTCTCGGCTTAACGCGCAAGAGTCGCCACATTTCTGCCACCATGTTAGGAATCACTTGAACAGAGAGATGGATCGGCAGAGGTGGCCCGATCGCTTGGCCTCCTAGGTCGCTAGATTTAACCTAAATTTATTTTTCCTTGTGGGGTTATGTGAAGAACATTGTCTACCAGGTTAAGATCAAAGACCTTCAGCACCTGAAGGCTCGTATAAGGGACGCTGTGGCTACGGTAACACCAAACATGCTTCAAGCAACGTGGAACGAGGTCGAATATCGTCTGGATATTTGTCGTTCCATCAAGGGAGCCCACATTGATATTTACTGAGAAAGTTATATACTCAGAAACAAACTTTAACAGTTTCCCTTTGTAGTGGTGTAACCCATAAATGTGTATAACAAATGCTTTCTGAGATATAATTATTTTATTCTGGATACCTTTCCCCTGGACACCCTGTATTTGGCACTTTCCTCGTTACGAGCGTGATTACTCACTCAGGAACATCAGGAATTTTTTGATCGTGTTAAAACTTCCAAATCTCAAAGTCAATGAAAAACCAATTGGCGATTCCCGAATGCTTATTGACAGACGGACAGACAGAGGGATTTTAATAGGCCCTCCGAGCGGATGTAAACGGTTCGAAGACCAGTCCAGATCTCTGACAACAGTACTCTGTGAACTTAGCAGTTTAAATAACAAGAACTCACCGGAGTTCCCACTCCATTGCCGGCAGCTGTGCTGTCTTGTTGTGGTGATTATTCACCATGAAGGAAATGGAAAGGCCAGTTGCTTGAGAGAAGTCTGAGCCCTCTAACCCTCCAAGGGCCAATCCGGGTTCCACTGGGCCCCCATACGGGGCCAGACAGCCGTAATCATAGGTATTCCTGTCAGAAATAGTAACGGTAAATTCAAGTTGCCCATGTGCTTAATTGGTTAAGTACCATCACATGATGACGTATGGGGAGTGGAGGTATAGCTCCACCAGTCTTGACCTCGGCGATAGAAGAGATAGGTGATCAGGGCCTCTTTGCCACCGGGGAATGAGCCCCTGGTACCTATCATATAAGAGGCTGGTGCGCCCCATATTCTGTCTGGACGCTGTGAAGTAGAGAAAAATCTCTTACCCCCGCCAGGAACCGAACCCCAGCCCCTAGCCCGTTGCTATACCTACTGAGCTATCCCGGTTCTGTCAGAAATAGTAGGTAACTTAAGTTATAAACTTGGCCGCGCCATAGCTCAAGCGGTTAGTCGCTGGCTTCCCACCGCAGCGGCCCGGGTTCGATCCCAGGTCTGGTCAAGTGGGATTTGTGGTGGACAAAGTGGCGCTGGGGCAAGTTTTCTAGAGTACTATACATGTATACATCTGTGGCGTATAGACCCGTTGCTTAGCGGTGAAACTGTAAACAGCGACCTTTTCTGGGCAAAGGCTCGGTAAACACTTTCCCGTTGCTAGGCAGCAGATTCTTAATAATGCAACAGTTGGACCACAAAAATGGAAACAGGGTGTTTCTACGTGGTCCATGCCGAGATGTTATAAACAAGGGACACAGTCAATTGAGTTCAGCACGTGAAGCTGTGAAGAGAGGGCCTGACCGCACGAAGTTGAAAAATACTCCACTGTTAGAAACCGTTTCTAGGGAAAGGCTGACAAAGACACAGCAGGTTGGAGAAGACAGCTGGTGCTGTGGTGATTGGTGAATTGTAGAGATTAGCGGTGCCGCTCTAATTACTTGTAGTCACAAGTTTTATGTTAAAGTGGTCAATAAATCCATTCACAAATCAAAACCCCGTCTATAGTCACACATATATACAGATACATGTACGCACGTTTATTTACACAGACATACATGAGGCGAGTATATTGCTGTACTCACTGGATACATCTCATCATAGTGTCTATGTAGCCTTCCGTCAAATTCGGGCTGTTCTTCAGGTACCCCCACACACTCTGAACGGTGCAGTTTTCAATTGACACGGCGTCCCCAGCTGCAACCAGCGGCGCGTTGCAGATCGTATTCAGCCCCTTACCCTCGTCTTCTCCGAGCTGAAACAGAAATTGCAGAATTATACTGGACATTTTCTGAGATATGTTAGCAGTACCTTGGACTTACGAAGGGGGCACTGTGCTACAAGCCGGAAGATAACGTTTTCGGTTCCCGATGAGGTCACTGGATTTTTCAATCGACCTAATCCTTCCAGCCGCACTATGGCCCCTGGTTCGGCTCAGCCTCTAACAGAAATGAGTATAAAGTATCTTCCTGGGGGGTAAAGGGCGGCCGGCGCGTAAGGCTGACAACCTCACCGCCATCTATGAGCCGATTGTCTAGAAAATGTGGGAGCCTCGACGTCTCACAACCCTATGAGCCTCCACGGCCTGTTACAGGAAGAGCTTTATCCATTTTTAGGACTTAATACTCGATGTATTTCCGAAAACGGGCCCCCAAGTCGAAAAACCGCGCGTAAGGTTAATTATGGCATGGGACGTATAGTGGTACGCTCAAAGACATCATTGCTCAGATCAATTTTTGGCCTACTTTCCTTATTGAAACAATAAATGTGTGCTTGTGCAATCTGCATCCTGTCACCCCTATCAACTTTTGGACGCTTGAACTAATCTTTATGAAACTTGGTATGACTATTGCAACAACTTAGCCCATCGGTCTGTGTGTCTGTCTGTGTTTTCCCCCTGTCGTTACTAGGTAAAGTGAAACACGTCAGAAATGGTTGTTTGGCACGTGCTATATTACCCTTTGTATCCGCTCCTGCAGGTTGAACACAACGCTGAGGAAAGTATCATTGAAGACAGGGCCGTATTCCTTGCCATCCCATTTCACCTGCAACAGAACATTAATCAGCGTATAGAACGACCAAGACTTCACACAGAGAACGTACTCCTTGACAAACTGGCAGTCACTACACTAGTCACCAAAATTTCACCATTTTATGGAACCTCAAGGTTCAGTGTTTTTTTCCTTGGGCGCTACAGCCCCCAATTTGGGGCCTTGGGCGGGTGATCAGCTCATTTCAAGGCCTCTACCTACACATAGGACAACACAATCACACCCAGAGAACCATGCCACGAGTGGGATTCAAACCCACAACCCCAAAGTTTCAGCGAGCGAAGACGGTTCATGCCTTAGACCACACGGCCACTCTGATAGGCAGTAGATGAACTGTACTAGTGAAATATAGAAATGAACTGGTGTAGGGGGTTGTTTAAACGAAATATGTTCGTGTGTTCGGTCCCCTCAGGAAAGCGCTGACAGGGTCGTCGGTTCGGGTCGGACAAAGACGTACTACAAACCCAAGGAATCCTTTGCGAAGCGAATCAGTCTACTTGAATATCAGCGCCTTGCCTACCTCAACGTCCATGAGGACTGTTTGTAACAACTATTCCTTCGCCTAGAACAATCCCTGAACGGGTTTCATTTTTGAACAGCCCTCATACTTACCTTCTGTATCCCAACCGCTTTCACGAACACTTGCTCCAAACGATAGAATGGTTCGAAACGGCTGTCAAAGTATTCTTTCTCAAGACGTGACCGACTCTGAGGCGAGGCCCACATTTCGACTGGGTCTGTTGTCACTTGCAAGTCGAAAGCTCCGTAAACCAGAGCCGCTACAACCCACGAGGAAGCAAACAGAACTAACGCAGGATGGGAGGCGAAAACTGTAACATGCAACAAATCAAATTCTTTCCATCAGGTTTCGGTGGTTGCAGTTAATGTACAGTGCGTTCAGATAAGGAGGAAACTGCGCAACACCGCTGACCCGGTCTAACATTCCTCACAGATTGCTGCTGTAACTGCCGATAGCAGAATGAGTCATTAGCGCTGATAAACGCGCGCCGTTACAGTTACAGCAGCAATCTGTGAGGAATGTTAGACCAGGTACGCGGTGTTGCGAAGTTTCCTCCTTGATTGAACACTCTGTATAATTTCCGGGAATACCCCTCGTAGGACGTTGACGGTTTTCGAAAGTTTCTGTAAATATTAAGAGTTGTCATCTTCAGGATTGATGTTTTTGGGGAGGGGGAAGGAAGGGTTAGAAAACCCGGTCTTAAAAATTTGGTAACTAAAAGCATTTCTCAGCATCTCTTTTCATAATCATCTGACCGTTGAAAATATTTTCTTGACCTTGCCACGTGATCACTAATAATAATTACAGATGTAGATCACTCTTTCATCTGTTCTTGTGCTAAAAGCGGTGTTCATCGTACATTTTAATCACCTACATAGTCGCCCCCTGGTTTCTTATATCCCTGCTTCTCTGTTTCGTCCAATCGCGCCTTCACCCCCTCTCACACCCATCAACACTGAAGATGGCAACCGAAAATATTGTCGAAACGTTGGGAAACCGTAAACTTCCTGTGCGATATTCTTTGTGTGAGGGATTCTGCAGTCAGTAATTAGACGTTACACAATCGAATGCTAGGATAGTAGATGGATGATGATTTGGAAAGCATTCTGAAGGAAAGGGTCGTGGCCTACTTCGGATACTATCCCAACATTTCGTAAAACGGAATGAGGAAAATATAGACAATTTTCAGTCAGGATTGTCTATCTCCCTGTCTAGATTCGAACCGAGAACCTCTTGAATACAAATCTAGATCATTACCTCTACACTAAGCTTCTAGGTGAGTTTATTATTATTATTATTATTATTATTATTATTATGTAACCAGTAATTTATCTATCTATCTATCTTAGGCACAGTAGATCAGTGAAGGTCGCAGTGGAAGGGCCGGATTATTATGACCAACCCCTTACCCATTCTTTCATTTATCTGTTGCCCTACAGCCCTTTGTTAGGACCTTGGCCACTTTTTCAGTTTCTTGATATTTACACAGTAAGACTCCTTGGACGGGGGATCAGTCCTTCGCAAGGCCCCTACCCGCACACAGGACAGCACAAACACAGAATAAACGCACACAGACATCCATGCCTCGAGTTGGATTCGAACCCACGACCCCAATGTTTGAGCGAGTGAAGCCTGTTCATGCCTTAGACCGCGCGGCCACTGTGATCGGCCGTGGCCCTGAATACGTTAAATTTGAATAGACAGAACTACGGTGTAGTAAGAGTATATGACTGAAACTTCATATGCTAACAAATATTTCGCAACGGAATCATATCTTAGGCAAAAGGTGCATACGGTAATGAGATAGCTTGTAAATACATGAAGAGTGACGAAAAGTAAGGGGGTGACCCAGTATGAAATATTTTTTTACAATACCGTTATGTGTTTGACCGCCTCGTTGGTCTAGTGTTCAGAAATCCTGGCTACATATCCAGAAGTCCCGGGTTCGATTCCCGGAGCTACCAGATTTTCTGAGAAGTAATGAGTCTGGAACGGGGTACACTCAGCCTCGTGACGATAATTGAGGGGTTGTTTAAAGAAAATAGCGGCTTATGTCTAGAAAACCGAGATTAACGGCCGTGGGGAACCGTTGCGCTGACCACGCGACACCCTCTATCCACTAAAATTGACACTAACTTCGCCGACAAGCGGCGGTCGCTCGGTCGGTATAGTTCACATACGGATTACAGGCCACGGAGTTTGTTTTGTTTGTTTGATAAAATCTGTAAGTAAATGTAACTAAAAAATTTCAAACGATTTCGCCCTGTCTAGAGATTTGATCGTATCAGTAATTAATTACAGTTTCATGAAGTTGATACAGAATTATAACTAGATTTATCTAATCTGATATATTCTTAAGTCTACCACAAGGCTGCGCGTCGTTTTTTTTTTTTTCTTTTTAAACACTCTCTGTTATCAGAGTCAGTGGTTTCTAAAGACACGAAGTCCGCGGTGCGCCTGTGCGCCATGTTGCTTTGTACGGAACTCCCAGAGAAACTGATTTCTCACTTCATTACTCCAACTAGGAGCAACGGTCAGTGATGACAGCGACGTAATGGGAATTACAGAATAACCTCACGTTCCCTCTAGGAGCACGTGTATGTTTTGGGTATTCCCCGAGCTCAACAGAATCCCACATGACGTGTATACTGTTGATTTGAAAGAAATATCCCCGGTATCCACAACTATCAAAGATATTAGAGTCGGTATAGCTCAGTGAGTATAAAGATGGGGTTACGGGCTGGACGGTCTAGGTTCGATTCACTGCAGGGACAAAAGATTTTTATCTTCTCTACAACTTCCAGACCAGTTCTAAGATCCACCCAGTTTCTTATTCACTGGGTAATGGGTGCGAATTCCCCTGTGATAAAGCTGCCGGAACGTGCAGCTGACCAATCACCTCTATCTAGTGCCGAGGTGGAGCTATACCTCCACACCTCCATATATATTCATTGCGTGCTTGATTAATTATGCACATGGACAAATTTTTTCACTGGTTCTACAGCCCCCTTGGATCCTGGCTTCTGATTTTTAGTTTCATGATCATTTTACAGACGGTAGGTCTCATTTGTGAAGTGATCAGACCGTCGCAAGGACGCTACCTAAACACAGGACAACACAAACACACAAAGCATCCATGCCTTGTGTGGGATTCGAACCCATTATCCGGGCTTCCGAGCGAGCGAAGACAGTACTTTTCTTTTTAATTCTCTTAGTGAGGGGTAGAGTCCAACTGGGTCCACTCGGCACGGCGACCACTGATTGGCCTATTGTAGCCTGCCCCGGGTGATTATGATGACGGAGAATTTGGTGCAATGAAGATTGGCAGGGGAAACCGAAGTACTCGAAGAAAACCCACCCCAGAGCCACTTTGTCGACCACAAATCCAACTTGACCAGACTCCGGGATCGAACCCGGGCCGCCGCGGTGGGAAGCCAGCGACTAACCGCTTGAGCTATGACGCGGCCAAGACAGTACATGCCTTAGACCGTGACCCGCTATATTATTATAATACCATAGTAAAAGGTAAAGTTGTCCCTGTGCTTAATTAATTAAGCAATACGCCATGAAGGGGTATGGGGGCGTGGATATATATATCCACATTTTCTTGACCTCGACACTAGTTGTAGATGAGTGGTCAGCTTCACACCCCTGTCGCTTTACTCCCGGGTGAAGAGCCCCCGGTACCCATTGGATAAGAGGCTGGGTGAGCCCCAGAGCCCGTCTGGACGACGTGGAGAAAAGAAATTTCTTCACACTACCGGGACTCGAACTCCGACTCCTCGGTCGTCTAGCCCAAAGCCAGTCGCTATACCGACTGAGCTATCTCGGCACCATAATACCATAGTACAATTTATATTGTTATAATAGTGTTTTTATGGGGACTGCGGTTGAGGTCATGTTGCAACGCACTGTTAACTTACCGGTGCCCCATTGGGCGAAGAAGCGCTGTAAGGCTGAATTGAATGTGCCCTCAAGAGAAGTCATGAACCGTGGGTAGTGAAGTCTAGAAAAGTTGGCTGAAACAGAAAATATATGCGAGCGCATATCAGAAATAATAACTTCTGTTTTCAGTTGTAAATTATTTTCGTTACATATTGGTGTTTTGAATGGAGCAGAATTCTATAGAAACACACAGAATTACTTGGTTTTTGGACTTTTTCCATCGTATGGAATTCTAGGAAATAGTCCAAAATGCCAGTAATTCTGTGTGTCTACCATCGTTAGAACCCTTTAAAATCTAATTCTATTGAAGCAGTCAAACTAATGAACACAATGAGACGGTTTTATTCCTGGAAAAACTGCTCACGAAACTCATATATTTCATGGAACGTGCTTTGAATCTCATGGAGGACATTTTAAGCACTTATCTATATAAATAAATATTTGACCTATAATCCACTAATTTAATGTTTCCGGGCACATATTGTTATGAACATTTTTTTTTCCTGGTTTGCTTGGTGGAACTCGTTTTGTGATGTTTGTTTTCTTTTGCGTGAGTATAACTAATAGTACAAATCCCGCCGTCAACGGAACTATAATTTATTAATTACATTCCTCTACATGTTTCGACCCTTATTCATCCTCATGTGTAATGATTTACACATTTTCATTATTGAATTGTAAAGCTTGTAAACATATTTACATACATAGACTTAAAATGACTACATTTTGTGTACATTTATATTCTAACTACAGATGTTGATTTAAATACAAGATATATATGAAACTAAAAGTTGAAAGTTAAAAATTAAAAATTGATTTTACTAATATTTAAAATTAATTTAAAAATGTCGTATGCTGTATTCAGCTTAGTGTCTGTTGCTGTAGTCTGATTCTTCTGTTATTGGTTAGATTCGTTTGTGATGTTTCTTGAGCCCGAATTTGTCTTTTTTCTTATGTCCATGATGTCGATTGTTAGTGTTGTGTTATATATGTGGTATGGTTTGCTGCGTCGTCTATACTACTTCCGCGCCTTTCAGTTTACATCCTGTATATACGAGAAATTGGGCCCGGAGGACAGAAGAACGAAATTGAAAACACTAAACCTGAACACTTATCATTTATCCCGGATATTCGAATGGTTAATCTTCCCTCTCCCCGACAACACTGTCTGGGGTTAGTTGGTGCTTATTCTTTTCTGGAATCGGTGGCGTTACTTAAATATTTATTTTGGGCGCGTGCATATGGTTAAATTCGCGTATGATGCGACTCCACTCTATACTTATTGCAGCGTATACACCCGTTGCTATGCGACGACCGCGAGATATTCGGATATGCCAAGGTCATTTCTGGGCAACGACTAGATAAACACGTTCCCGTTCTAGGCAGCAGATTTCTAATAATGCAACAGCTGGACTACAACAATGAAGGAGCTATGTTTTCTTCGTGGTACGTGGCCAAAGGTTATAAACGAGACGAGGTTTGAAGTTTAGTTCAATCCCGCATGGAGGCGGGGTCGAAAACCTCCACCGTGACCCTGCGAGTCGTAGGAAGCGACGAAGAGGGAAGTCTCGAATCTGAGACAGCAAAATATGGTCGCGAGTCCCACGGAGCTCGGACCCTAGAATGACTGCGCTGGCGAGGGCCAGCAGTAGTTATAAACGACAGACCCGTCCTCTTGTCAGAGACAGCGCCCCACATCAACAAACCCTCAACTGCCTGACTAATAAAAATCTGTTCTTAAGCCCCAGATGGGTGCTTTATTCCAAGACAGGCTGGCCGACTGACAGTCGGTAGTAACGTAAGACTCGACTCAATCAAATCATTTCTGTACGGGAGTCTGTGAAGAGGGGACTTGAGTGGGAAGCACGGAATAGCAATTGTTGGAGCCGTTACAAGGAAACGTCTAGTGACAGACTATGTGCTCTAGTGAACTGTAGAGTGTGTGAAATAGCAATAGTGTTATAGTTATTTGTAGTTACGACCTGTATGTAAGTGATCAGTAAATATATTCACCAATCGAAACCCAATGTTTAGTCACACACTATCTGGAAAGCAAGCGGCCTCCGTAGTCTAGGGTTAACGTTCCCACCTCATGACTCAAGGTACGCGGGTTCAAACCCGATCGTGGAATTTTTAAGGGCGGAAAAATTCAGGGAACAAGTCCTCCGGGAGGGACTTTAAGCCGTGTGTCCCGTGTCGTAGATTTACGGCACGTAAAAGGTCCTCATATCTCTAGGAGACCTCTACAGTATCCCGCCCAAATAGTTTCCAATGCCTCTAGTAGATGGGGGAAGCATCAGGTACCACGTGCTAGAAGAGGACCGACCTCGCTGGCAAAGTGGAGCTGAAAAATCAGGTACCACGTGCCAGAAGAGGGCCGACCTCGCTGGCAAAGTGGGGCTGATAGCAAAGCACCAGTACCGGTAGGGTATGGGGACAGTAAAAATTAAAGGGGGACGCACAATGGACCAATAACTGGTCTAAGTGCGTGGGGGAAACCCACCCCCTCTAATAAGCGTGACAAGTATAATGTAACAACTTACGTTTTATCCTATGCAACAAGAACAGCAAGGAGAGGAACGCCACAACCAGAACTATGTACACTATGCCCATAACGAACCCCAGACCGTACAACCCAGCTATCTGGAACTCTTCGTCTGCTTCTGATGGTAGAGGGGCGAGACCCCCGGAACCAGGACAGCTCGCTTCGCAATCTAAACAGCTGCACGCAGCGCTGTTTTCCTGCAAAACGACAGTTTCGGGATTAATATATGAAAAAGAAGACGTTTCGGATTGACCTTATGACCCCTACCTTCTTTCGAATGCATCTATTTATATAATTCACATGATATTGTGGCGTATTTGCTCAAAGCAATGATTGTGGAGCCAGAGAAATAGCTGTTGCTAGAGAACGACTCAGAAGCAATATTCGTTTCTGAGCAACGATCGCAAACAAACAGGTTCCCGCGCGCAACAATAGAGGTACTGTTGGAAACGAAGGTTTCTACTCGGTCCGTACCTAGGGTTTGTAAGAAAACGATGTAGAATTAGTTGGTGTGGTGGGTGCTTGACACCAAGACCGACTGGCCGACTGACCGTGGTGGTAACATAAATTTGACTTTGGCTAGTCAGTTGGTGCCCGTGTGGATGTGGGTTCGAATACCTCCACTGTAGCCCTGCGAGTCGTAGGAGGCGAGGAAAAGGGAACCCATTGCATGGGGATATAACTGGGCCACCCTCTTCTCGGGGGATATAAATTCGGGGACCTGGCCCACCAGGTTGGGGGGGGGGGAAATCTCGAATCTGAGGCAGTAAAATATGATCATGAGTCCCTGGGACTCGGACCTGAGAATGGCTGCGCCGGCGATGCCCAGCAGGAAGGATATTACATAGGAACTACAACTGCAAATTTTCAGCTGAAAACTAAATTGCTGGTCGTGAGTCTCAAGGGACCTGTCGCCAAGAACTGATCGGCGATAAACCGCCAGTAGCAAAACTACTCTAGTTAGTTGGAAGGGAGGCGCCATTCGAAGTGGACTTGAGACCGGAAGCAGAGGAATAGACTTTGTTAGAAGCCGTTACCAGGAAACGGCTAGTGGAGACTTTAACAGACTGAGAACAGTAGTCTGTATTCTCTACTGATTTGTAAAGAGTAGAAATTTGCGATGGCGCTATAATTAATTGTATTCACGGGTCGTGTGTTGAAGTGGTCAATAAATCTAATATCAAATTCAAAACCCCGTCGAAAATCACTCAGAATCGTGACAGTATTGATGTCGGCATTGACGTGGGGGGCTACATACATTTACCTTAATCACTTGGGCCACTTTTGTGTCCAGTGTGTGCCCCTGGCCTTGTTAGGGCCATTCAAAGAGAACTGTCCTCAATGCTACACCCGAAACGTCTTCTTCATGGGCTATTCACGAACTTCTTTTCAATATCGAGACTGTGCAGCGTCGGATGTTAGGATGATAAATGAATGGTGACTTGGAAAGGATCTGAAAGGAAGAGATCGTAACATGACCGATGTACTACCCCTACGTTTGCCTGGGGGACTGAGGAAAACCATTATTAACCTCTGTCAGGATACCCGGTGTCCCGCCCGATGCTTCAAACTATCCTGTTTATAACATCTCTGCACGAACCACATTGAAAACGCGGTTTCTTAATAATTCTTCTGGTGTTACAGAGATGTGTTTACTTCGCCGTTGCATTGAGACGGTAGTTCTTTGATTGTTCCGTGCTGGAAACTGTTTACCGCCGTTGCGTAGCAATGAAATATTCCGGATTTCAGGCGTCATGTCACAATACTTACGTCATATGGCTCAGAGCACGGTTTTGTTTCTATTCTGAGTGGATCGTAAACTCCATTGCTCTCCGCGATTGGAATGTAGTTGATTTGGAAGGGCACGAAGTCACTGAGCTCCTCGTTGCCCATGTACTCGAACCACCTGAAATGCGTACACATCCCTAAAACTCTCTCATAGTCAGGATAACGACAGCCTACCGTTTCAGCTTGCTTCAAGTACCTTCAAATTTCAAAGGGACGTTTCTGCTGTGGGGTGGGACTAAGTCCCTTGTACTGCGGCCACTTCTGGCCTATTGTACCAGCCCCAGATGATAGGTGAGGGTGATTGTGGATCAATTGGTGAAATGAGGATTGGCAGGGGAAACCAAAGTACTCGGAGAAAATCTGCCCCAGCGCCACTTTGTCCACCACAAATCCCACTTGACCAGACCCGGGATCGAACCCGGGCCGCCGCGATGGGAAGCCAGCGACTAACTGTTTGAGCTATGGCGCGACCCTTACGGTTGAATAAGGAGCATAAGATCTGTCGAGAAATAGTTTCAGTGGTCATGCAACATTTATACTCTTCACAAAGTATAATTAGAATTAGATTGGCTCGGCATGAAGCACGCATGTGGAGAAGAGGAATTTATATAGGATTTTTGTGAGAAAATCAGAAGGAAAGAAACCAGTAGAAGCACCTAGTCGTGGATTGGAGGATAATATTAAAATTGATCTTAGATAGGATGGCATGATATAGACTGGATTGATCTGGGTGAGAATATGAACCAGTGGAGGGCTCTTGTGTACATGGTAATGAATTTTCGGGTTCCATAAAATATTGGGAAATTCTTGGATGACTGAGCGACTGGCCGTTTCTCAAGGGCTCAGCTTCATGGAATTGGTGAGCTCAGATAACATTTGTGCTTGTAAGAGCATCGTCAAAAAAAATACTTAATTTCATACTACAAACCCTCATTTGGTAGGAAGCCAAAATATTTCCATATACTACGAACTTACCCGAACGGGTAAATCTATACGGGTAAAGTTTGTATACATGGCGGAAATCTGGCCGGTTTGCCTGCGAGGAAAGAAGAATTCTGTCGACGCTTGAATTTGTTCTTCTGCCGCTCTCATGTTAAGGCCAGTGGCTCTCAAACTTCTGAGAGTACGGGTTAACTTAGACTTCGGGTAAATATATGGGAAGTGTATACTCCTGACAGACTACAAGTTAAATTGTAGAGACTTGCCTTTTTTGATAAAATTGTAGAATAACCCTGTTAAGTTTATGGCCAGCTGAAGAAACACCACAAATTCTCGTGCAAGAAGAGGAACCCCCGATACGAGTCATGATGATGATGATTGCTTACCTTTCCGGGTTGCAGTCTTCAGCACCGTAAGGTATGCACATGCTACCGAGGGCCGGTCCGCCGCTGGATGGCATCACAACTTGTCGGCACGAATCATACGTTTCGTTCATGTACGCCGGGTCAATATACACATTCATAGCGTTTATATATGTTTCTGTACACAAGAGACATTCATAAAGTAAAGAGCATAATTAGGATTTTAAATATAATTACAGTAAAACTTGGTTATAGCAACATCGGTTTCTGCGACATCTTGTCTATTGCGTCAAATATTCAATGGTACGAACTAATTCCTCATAAAGCAACTGTTTTTATACCTTGCTTAGTACGACATGCACAAATGCATCAACCTCGTATGTAACGTCATTTTCATTCCTGAATTTCTCTGATATGGACATTGAACGTAATTTAGAAAGTGTGTATTGGGCAAGTAACAGGAAACAGATGAAGATAACTGATTACTGTACTCGTATCTAGGTACAGTAAGGCACAACAATTGATGTAATCTACTGTAATTTGGTGAGTAGGCCTACCTTTAATATACAGTATTAGTGCGGTGTGTATTGTCAGTGAAAAGCGCTGTAATATGTCTTTGATATTACACATTTGGGCAATTCCACGTTAATGTTACGTTAGTCTGTACTTAACTACGTATTTCACAAAAAAATGCAACATTTTAACTCGGTTTTTGGTAGATTTTTACGTGACTAACATAAGGCTACTGTGGAAGTGCCCATTTCGGTTACAACGACATTCGTTTATAACGACACTATTTTTAGGTCCCTTTGATGACGTTATAACCAAGTTCTACTGTAATTGATTTTGTACACGTATATTTCCTTCTTAAATGTAACTTATTATCTATAATCACACTTCTTCCTCACTACATGTTTCGCCTATATACGGTCATCATCAGGTGTTGTCTGTCGTGATAAAAATGTTGCATTTTATGTCAAAATTATGTATCGCATGTGAACACGATAATTTATAATTAAAATTAATCAATGTTAATATTTGAACTGTTTCAAAGTATTTGTTAACTATCTTTATGTCATGATTTTGCCCTGTATTTTGGTGACGAGACAACAACAAATCTGAATATACTGTATTACTTGGAAGTAGTACACAGTTATGTAGTGTCGTATTGTTTGAGATCATAGAAATTAACAGTAACCAATGTATAGCTCTTCTTGCCATGTGATTAAGTTTTTTTTTCCTTGGCACTACAGCCCCAATGGGCCTAGTCCTACCGCCATGAAATTCTCCGTTCACTTCGATTTTTCTAGATCTTACACATTCGACAGGACTCCTTGGGCGGGTGATCAGCTCGTCGCAAGGCCTCTACCTGTACTCAAACACAGAAAAACGCACACACACAAACTAAACATCCATGCCCTGAGTGGGATTCGAAGCCACGATCCCGACTTCCGAGCGAGCGAAGACAGTGCATGCCTTAGACCGCTCGGCTACCGTGACCGGCATGTGATTAAGTTACCATTATATATTTATACGTGACATGCAATTCATATTATCATTGAAGGAAACATCAAAGAATCCCCCGTGTCGTTTTGTCTGCCGGACTGCTTGCTAGAAATCTGTCTGGATCCGGCAAATCCTGCAATCGGCCTTCTCGACACAGGTTTCCTTGGTTTTCCATGGTCTTCAGACAAATTCCGAAGTGGTTCCATGGTTCCAGATTGCTACTCCTTGCTTCTCATGCAGCCCCCCCCCCCATTTCTGTTAGAGCCACCAAATTTGCTTTTCCCCAAATTATACACTTCGATATAAAATGAAGAAATCATAATTCTGCTGCCCCCTTTTTCAAGCCACTACTTCGTACTATCATAACGTCTGCACCTTCATATTGTCCTTCTCAAAAGGACAAGCGGGCGAAGACTGTGAACTTTTTCAATTCTCTGCATTTTTTATATGGTTAATGGTTCAAACCGTGCGTTTTATGGTCATGTTTAGTGATTTCTTTAAGGACACAATACCGTAACCCAGGCGCCCATAATGCAACGGTATAACTTATACAAAAGGGCCGCGCCATAGCTCAAGCGGTTAGTCGCTGGCTTCCCACCGCGGCGGCCCGGGTTCGATCCCGGGTCTGATAAAGTGGGATTTGTGGTGGACAAAGTGGCTCTGGGGCAGGTTTTCTCCGAGTACTTCGGTTTCCCCTGCCAATCTTCATTCCACCAATTGCTCCACAATCACCCTCACCTATCATCTGGGGCTGGTACAACAGGCCAGAAGTGGCTACAGTACAAGGGACTTACCCCCACCCCACTAGCAATAAAAAAAATCGTCAGTGAACTGTTCTTCAAATGGTATAATCTGCATTATCCTGTATCATAAGAAAGGCTGTTACCGTTTGCTGGATTCTGCTTGAGTTCCGCCGGTTCGATAAACTTGTTCTGGGTTGTAGAACAAGTGAATTCGCATATGTGCCTCATCAGGTTTCTAACACAGGAAGTACAGCGTTTCAGAATGCCCTCCGCTAGCTGCAGCTTCTCGTCCATGGCCTGCAGTTGCGCCGTGTTGCAACAAGTATGAATTCCTGTGCCTGTCACAATAACTGCATTTTAATAATCCAACATCGTAAATGTTCTATGGCTCGAAGTATATGAAAGATTTTTATTAAGAAAAATAAGATACCAAACTGAAAATAATATAATTTTTGGATATCTTTGAGAGCAACGTCAAAGATAAACGTAAAGCTATCCCTGTAACAGGCCGTGGAGGCCCCTAGGTTTGTGAAACGTCGAGACTCCCACATTTTCTACACAATCGACCCACAGATGGCGGTGAGGTTAAGTAAAGCTATCCCTGTAACAGGCCGTGGAGGCCCCTAGGTTTGTGAAACGTCGAGACTCCCACATTTTCTACACAATCGACCCACAGATGGCGGTGAGGTTAAGTAAAGCTATCCCTGTAACCGGCCGTGGAGGCCCATAGGGTTGTGAGACGTCGAGGCTCTCACATTTTCTACACAATCGACCCATAGATGGCGGTGAGGTTGTCACCCTTACGCGCCGGTCGCCCTTTACCTCAGGAAGATTCCTGGTACTCATTTGTGTTAGAGACTGAGTCGACCCCCGGGCCATTGCGCAACTGGAGGGATGAAGTCAATTGAAGAAATCCAATGATATCATCGGGAATCGAACCCGCGACTTTCCGGCATGTAGCATAGTGCCTCAACCAACTACGCTATCGTGTTCTGTTCCTCTATTTAAATGAATATACAGTACAGCAACTGCGAACCGTGACTAGTTCTCAGTGTGACTTCTCCATAAATAATTAAACTTGTACACTTCATCTTCACCCCTGTATTGCGTCTTTGTGCTACTCCCCTCTCCCATTTATGCGCCCTGTGAACTCGTGCTTGTGGATTGGTTCGACGGAAATAAACTAAACTTAATTCCAGGAGGTAACGATTATGTCATTACGAACATACGCTCCAGGACGTCTCTGTCATGATATTGCAGCCGAACGTGAGATAGAGATATTGGAGATTCTGTTGTTAAGCAGCCTCGTGGCACTCACCATTAGCAAGATACAGGGACTCCTTCTGTTCACAGTATGCAGTCCAAGGATATCTCCGAGAAATGAAGATTCTTATTCTGTAACACTTACATAGAAACTGATGCTCACCATTATCAACGTTTAAATGAGGACATCTCTTATTAAGGATCTGTAATCCATAAGGATCTTGCAGAACTGGAGCTTCTATTGTTCTGTAGCAGTTCTTGATTTTGCCTTTTGCGTCTGTGAAGCATTGCCCGTACCATATGCAGTGGCCATCCTCAACCTGCGACACACAAACCATCCTACAGTCGAATTACACTTAGTAAATTTATGATGATCCCCAGGCCGCGCCATAGCTCAAGCGGTTAGTCGCTGGCTTCCCACCGCGGCGACCCGGGTTCGGTCAAGTGGGATTTGTGGTGGACAAAGTGGTGCTGAAGCAGGTTTTCTCCGAGTACTTAGGTTTCCCCTGCCAATCTTCATTCCACCAATTGCTCCACAATCACCCTCACCTATCATCTGGGGCTGGTACAATAGGCCAGAAGTGGCCGCAGTACAAGGGACTTAGTCCCAGCCCACTAGCAATAAAAAATATAATGATCCACGTGTGGAGGCGTGATAGAATACCTCCACCCTAGCCCTGCGAGTAGGAGAAGGCGACGAAAAGTGAACCAGTACCCGTGGCATAACTGGGTCACGCTGTCACTGGGGTTGGACTTAAGGCTGACGACCTTACTCTTAAAAACAATTGTTGCGAACTCCAAAGAAGCGAAAATGGGATGAAATTTCGCATGATCTTTTAAGGGAAACTATGGCTCCACAAGGGTTGTTTTGCCACTGTAGAGTTAAGGGGCTGCAATTTTATGCAGGTTTCTGGATCTGACTTTTGAGATTAACGTCTGGGATTTGACGCCGTGTGATCTGCTAGGTTTGTAATGACGTTGCGGAGGAACCTGTTGATGCCATCTTTATAGTAGTTCATGTACCCTGAAGATGGCGACATTAGGTATCTCCGAAACGCTGATATCCATCCACAAAACTACACATCATGATGTTTTAGGTTCTCATAGCATTGAGTATGAGAAGAGTAGCCTTACATATCAAATTCCAGAAGACAGCGATCATATATTAATATTATATTAATTCATATATTAATCTCTAACACTTACATTGCGGTCGCATTTTATACGAATTTGAGATAATGCGATATAAAAATATTATTGAAGTCTCGGGTAATACCAAAAGTCTGAAATAATGCCAAATGTTGTCCCTCCCAAAAAAAATCAGCAAGACTCAATTATACATGTCAGAACTGTGAGAAAACTTGTCTTGAATAATGCGAGGTCTTCAGGAATGCATCGTCACGTAAAATGCGATAGCAGTATTCGCTCTGACAATAAAGTTCGCGAACTCATCGCGTTTAAAGTGCTACGTAACCCATTGCTGAGTATCACTGTGCCCGCCTTCAGAGTACTCGCGTTTGGAAGCTATGCGCCACCCTTCAAAACAGTTTTGGGACTGTTTTTGTGGAATGGCCTTCAGAGCTGCCGTCGTATTACTGCTGATGTCATCAGAATGCCTTCCTTTCAATATTTCCTTTATCTTCGGGAACAGAAAAAAGACATTGCTGGCTAGGTCCGGTGAACAGGGAGGCTGTTCCAGCACAGTTATTTGTTTACTAGCTAAAAACTCCCTCACAGACAGTGCTCTAATTCAAGCTAGGACAGTCTCTCGACGGCACACCAAAACACACTCAGAAAGAGACTCATAGATCAACAACAACACAGCTGTGAAACGCTGTTATGCCAACGTCATCAAACCATACTGAGTTTTCTGACCGCTGCTGCCACAAGCACACGGTGGCGAGTTCTCAAACTTTATTGTCAGACCTCTTACTACGCTATGGGCCTTCACGGCATTTTACAGGGGTAGCTGATATACGAGTATATAGCAAGAAGTGTCCCTATGCTTAGTTTGGTGCCGCGCCATGAACACGTGAGGCTGGAGGTTTAGGTCCGTGCATTCTTAACCTCGACACAAGATGTGAGTGATCAACTTCACGCTCAAGCCGCCTTAATCTCAGGTAAATACTCCTCGGTACCCATTAAACAAGTGGCTTGTTGGGCACCAAAATCTGTCTGGACGCTGTCGAGAAGAATCTTGCTCCTTTCTCCAACCGAGCCCCGATTCCTCGGTCTAGTCACTATGCTGACTGAGCTGACACAGGCGTTCAGTTGGACTCACCTGAGTTGAATACTCGCACAGTGACAGCAAGAAAAGTAGGGTCAGGTGTCTAACGCACTTCATTGCGTTGGATCTGTGAAGCATAAGCATAATGGTCAAAATCAAGGGGGTGCTTTAACGCCATTGCTTTTTAGGTTCGCATTACCATTAGCAAGGTCCAAGAAAATTAAAATAGGAGTATTATCTTCTGGGATATGGCGCCATGGAATTCGGTAGTTCACCGATGTTTCGAAGTAAGGTACTGCCTCTATCTTCAGGGTCTAAAAGTAAACAAAAAACAGCAACCTGTAATAATCAAGCATCGCGACTGTTCTTTGATTTTGGCTTAGCTTATTATTCGACCCTGAAGATAGAGACAGTGTACGTTCCTGCTAAATGATGTTAAATTTCTACCGGACTGCACGGCATCAAATCCCAGAACTGGTCACAGTAGCCTCTGTGAGAACCTCGCCCAGTAAAAGCAAAAGAGGCTGAAATGGAACAGGACACGTCACCTTCTGTTCCGTGTTAATTATGTTAATTTTATAAAAGAAAATCTAATGACCATTAAATGCAAGGAGGAATTTAACGTACGTGTATGATCATATCTCGTCTCACGGAATGCAGTATATAGCCACAGTATAAAAATCAAGCAAATCCACAGAAAACGTAGAAAAATTTAAATGTCTGGAAATGACAATGAGACATCGAGGCCAATTCAGAAGTCAAAGAGCAGATTAAATCCAGAGAATGCTTTCTGCGCTTTTGTTCACAGTATCTAATCTTCCTGCCTCGTATGTAGAAATGTTAGTATGCGTAGGATATGGAATTATAATTTTTCTAGTTGCTATAAAATTAACTAAAATCCACAGCGCAGGGTCCTTGAGAACCCAACGATCACTCAGCCAGGTGTTCAGGGCATTTATGAAACCCGAAGTCCTGGGTTCACATGCAGGAAGGTCTTAATCTCCATATTTATATAAATTAGGAATTTTTGAGATCATATTACGAAGACTCCCGGAACAGGCGTTTTGCCTAGTCCATGAAATGATGATGTACCGAGACTAAAGTTTGGACATTAGCTAGAGAAAATAACAGGAGGATCTTCATAATTCTGTGGTGTTATGTAAAACAGTTTAAGTCGCCAAACGTCACTTTTTCATGATAATAAGAAACGATTTGCGTGGTTATACAGTTAAGTAAAGTAAAGGCCATGGAGGCTCATAAGGTTGTGAGACGTCGAGGTTCCCACATTTTCTAGACAATCGGCTCACAGATGGCGGTAAGGTCAGTCTTACACGCTGACCGCTCTTTACCCCACAGGAAGATTCCTGGTACTCATTTCTGTTAGAGGCTGAGTCGACCCCAGGGCCATAGAGCGGCTGGAAGGATTAGGTAAATTGAAAAAATCCAGTGACCTCATCGGGAATGTAACCCATGACGTTCAGGCTATTAGCAGAGTGTCTCAACCAACTACGCTACCCCATGCCCCCCCCCACATGTTTATATAGTAATATATTTAACTCAGTATTTCATGAAGTCACTGAATAAAAAGAATGGTACTTAGTGACATAGCCTGGTTTCCGTTTGAACCACATAATAAACAGAATTGTATAATGCAGATATATCTCAATTGGACCAGTTTTTAGCCTCCTCTCCATGTTTTGATGAAATAAAAATAGGCTTATGAGATCACCTTTTGCTGTCTGTGTATTTGTGTATCCCCCCTGTCAACTTCTGAATGCCTGGACCAATCCCATCAGTCTGTGTGTCTGTGTGTGTATCTCTCTGTCGTTGCTAGTCAACGGCTTGTTTAAAACGTTACCTTAGCGGTTACACAGGCAATAATAAAAGAATTGTTGGAAGTGTTATCTATGCGGCCCGTATTGTGTCAATGAAAAGTAGATAATTAGTTCTTCCCAGAACTTCTTGTTTACTTAACACTCTTTTCCGTGACACTGGACACAAAATATAATTAAAATGCAGAGTTTGTGATGAGTTAATTTCATGCATTGCAGTTGGTAGTTCAGGGTAAATCTACACGATGCTGTCCCTTACAAACTACACACAGATCCACAGCACAGTTGAACCGCCATGAAAAGCTAAAATTTCGTGATTAAAACTGTTCTTCTCTTCCAGTAAGTTTCCATAATATCGGTACGGATAATTTGCCTATATTCTTGTGGCTTGGAGTCATTCAGCATCAAATTTTTCAGAGAAATACAATTACTAACGTGAAATTTTGAGGTTATGTTTCACATTTTCTAAAGGAAAACTATTTATACCCGTGTCATTTATGCACAACAAATATTTTACGTGTATAGGTAATAGGATGTTGGTGGGAAAGCCAGAAGGAAAGAGACCACTGGGAAGGCCAAGGCGTAGGTGGGTGAACAATATTAAAATGGACCTTGGAGAGACAGGATGGTATGGTATGGATTTGATTGATCTGGCTCAGGATAGGGACCAGTGGAGGGCTCTTGTGAACACGGTAATGAACCTTCGGGTTCCATAAAATGCTGGGAAATTCTTGAGTGGCTGCAGAATTGGCGGCTCCTCAAGAAGGGCTCAGCTCCGTAAGTAAAATAAGTAATTAAGTATAGTTAATAGGTAACTTGTGGTTCATGTCGATCTGTCCACATGAATGGAATACGTAATTTGGACGAATCTGTGTTTAGTGAGTTCTTTAAAGAACGGCCTTCCTTAATATTAGCGGTTCCTTTAGATTTACGCTGACGTAATGGCAATTAGAACGCGTCTGGAAAAAATTGTAAAGTTTAGTGTACTTACTTGGATGTAATATACGTTGCCTCATATATTTATTTTACATGCTCGTATCAGCTATTTTCTTTTCTGATTTAATCCTTACATTAAATTAAGTAAATGATTATGTAATTGCTTGTGATAAGTAATTTTTTTTTCTGTGGCGCTACAGCCCCAATTTGGGCCTAGGCCTACCCCCATGAAACTCTCCGTTTCACTTCGGTTTACTAGATCTTACGCATACGGTAGGACTCCTTGGGCGAGTGATCAGCTCGTCGCAAGGCCTCTACCTGTACACAAACACAGAAAAACGCACACACACATCCATGCCCTGAGTGGGATTCGAACCCACGATCCCGGCTTCCGAGCGAGCTAAGCAGTTCATGCCTCAGACTGCGCGGCTACCGTGGCCGGCAGTGTATAAGAATAATATATAAGAATTCAGTCCGTACCTCACAGGAAACAGATCCGAACCCACGGTCCCGGCTTCCGAGCGAGCGAAGACAGTACATGCCTTAGACCGTGTGGCCACTGTGACTGGCGGTGATAAGAAGTAATACTTAATTTAAAAACTAATAGATATATTAATAATATTTCGTGGATTATGATCTGGGATATGATACGGTGCGATTTTGTACTCAGAGATCGATATTTCGGCGGAAAATTTTGTCTCCATCTTGAGGGCGAGAATTTTTTGTGGGTTATTTTACGACAGTGTCAATAACTAGACTGTATAGCTTCGAGTGGTAAGAATGAAGAGTCGAATAGTTATGAATGAAAGATTTGGAAGGATGTTGTAGTAAACTAATCGAGGAACTTCCTCGGAAATTTTCCTGGAAAGACTGAGTAAAACCATAAAAGAACCTCGATTAATATTTCCGGTGTCCAAGCCGATAGTCGAACCAAAAAGAAATTACAGCACTGCCCCTAGAGTGGGGAATATTTTCGGTTTAATTGTATCGAGGGTTGTATCAAAGAATTGTTCACCCAAACGTCGCTATCCGCGTACAAGACTGCACGGTATCACAACCCGGAGGACAATCTGAACAGTCACTGACGTGATAATTAAAAAATTGATATTTGCCGTAACATTGTCCATTGTCCCGGTTGTTAACATTCGCTTCTTTTCCACGTCAGTATAAAACTGGTTTCTGTATGAAGATTGCTATTGTCAGCGATCCTAACCCGGCATAGGCGTCGAGATCAGTAGAACCATACCTTGTTCAGAGCTCCTGTCCTGTAGCCTTGTACCTTCACTGTCTTCTTTCAGACTGTCACGATCGGTCACGATCATATCGCTGCAGATAGGAATGGAGTCCATCAGGTGTTAACACTGCACATCACGTGATATCTTACTCCATAGTATAACCCCTTGAACACTAAGTGACTTGCTCTTAAATTTCTGCTGTCCCAGGCTGCTCTGAGTGCCTTCACATCTGTCCACTCCCTTAAACACAGTCATAGTTGCTTTACGACTGGTGATTTACAGCTAATCAGTTCATCTTGGCGTCAAGCCCCTTGAGACTCACGACCAGATTTTTTTAATTGAACCCTTGCGGTAATAGTCGATTAAAGAGGACGTACCTAAATGTGAAAACAATATGGCTCACTTAAGAAAATTGTCTTTTGATCTCTTGAATTTTGATACCGTCTAGTGTGATAAATCATTAACCAATTTTTTTGAGAAGTCGAGCAAGAAGAAGAAAGCAGGATCATCCGAGACTTATATACCAGATTACACGGCTTCACATTCAAGAAGACGATAATCTTAATCGGCTAAGTCTCACACTCCTCAACTGGTCAAAGAGTTCCCCTTCTTCTGTGATCACTGCGTACTACTGGAGCCCCTACTCGTCCCAGTTCTGAGCCAGCTGAATCCACTTCACATGTTATTTCTTTAAAATCTGTATTAACATCTATTCGACCTAGTGGTCAGAGTTCCTGGCTACAGATCCAGAGGTCCGGGTTCCATTCCCGGTGCTACCACATTTTCTGAGAAGTATTGGGTCTGGAACGGGGTCCACTCAGCCTCGTGAAGATAATTGAGGAGATAACTCAAGGAAATAGCGGCTCCGGTCCAGAAAACCAAAATTAACGGCCGTGGGGAATCTTTGCACTGACAACGCGACACCGTCTATCCACTAAATTTGGCACTAACTTCGCCGACAAGCGGCGGTCGCTCGGTCGGTCGGTATAGTTCGCTTGCGGATTAAAACCATGGAGTTTGTTTGTATTAACATCCATTTATGCCTGTGTGTTCGAAGTGCTCAGTCTGATAGATAGACAAAAAAAAAATTGTATACTTAACGACATCTATCAAAAGAAGTTTAAAAGATGACCGTTGAAGAATATGATAAATATGGGACTATTTCTTAATCTGTACCCAGTTATGTCTATCAGGCTTACAGCTGTGTAAATCCTTTTATATCACAATAGTGATAAGGTGTCTTAAACAGGTGTGAGTTCCACCGTGTGTATCTGTGATTAAGTTATTATTTAGATAAGACTGACTCATGTCTCTTAATGGACAGTTGTAAATCTTGACTTCCCTTTATTTTACTACATGTAAATGCATTTTTTGTAAGCAACCACAGGCTCTGTAACACCATAAAGCTGAGTTATTGAGAATCCATCACTTGCTCAGACATTCAATAAATTCGTAGTATGTATTTTTATGAAACCTAAAGTCTCATTACCGTGTTTCACAAGATTCCGCAAGGTGTTCCTATCTTAAAACAGATGAATCCAATCCACATTCCTATCTAGGATCTATCCCTCATCTTGTTAGTGTCTTTCTTTCGTGTGTTCTTTCTCAAATTTTATATGCATTTCTATTCTCCCCCCATGCATACTACATGCCTTGTCTATTTCTTCCTCGTTGATTTGATCAGTCTATAACATTTGGAGTGGGACCGCCTCTGTGGTCTAGTGGTCAGAGTTCCTGGCTACAGATCCAGAGGTCCCGGGTTCGATTCCCGGCGCTACAAGATTTTCTGAGAAGTAGTGGGTCTGGAACGGGGTTCACTCAGCCTCGTGAGGATAATTGATGAGCTATTTCAGTGAAATAGCGGCTCCGGTCTAGAAAACCGAAATTAACGGCCGTGGGGATTCGTTGCGCTGACCACGTGTCACCCTCTATCCGCAGAAGTTGGCACTAATTTCGCCGACAAGCGGTCGGTATTGTTCGCTTGCGGACTACAGACCATGGAGTTCTTTATAAGTTACGAAGCTCCTCATTGTGCATTTTTCTCCAGCTTCATATTATCCCCTCCCTCTTCGGTTCAAATAAATATCTTCAGCGCCCTATTCTCAGGTACTTCAGTCAGTGTTCGACATTTGTCCATCCTGTAATTGAGGATGTTGTGAATCCCCTGATTTTTCTGCTGTCATAAAATGAAAATATCCTCGTGCCGAGGATTTACCTTGAAGATAATCGGATCCTCAAGGCAAATAGGGTTCAGCTGTGGAGTGTTAGCCAGCGGGCACCGGAAGCGGAAGAATCTCCATTGCTAAGATTCGTTACCAGTGAGGACACTGCAGAGGAATATCCATTGCGGACAGCCGTTACCAAGTAACGACTAGTAGAAACAGACTGAGAAGACTTTGGCTGGGTTCGTTGTAGAAATAAACAAGAGAGGCGAATTCTACGCTTTCGTCTAGCTCCATTGCAGACAAAAACTACGCGCCGCATTCTGCAAGTGTGTGGTGTCCTCAGCAACGTTCGTTGCAACGGACGTACTTCGTGCGCTCGTGTGGCCCTAGCCTTGGTGTTGAGTGATTTGTAGCGTGGAAATCATCAATAATGTTATAATTGTTTGTAGTTACGACCTGTAAGTGGTCAATAAATCTATTCACCAATCCAAACCCCGTCTATAGTCACTAATACACGTGTCATTATTTAAATTTGAGAAGTTAGGGCTTAACATTTCATTAAATTTGAAGCTACTGAAATGAGACGTAGTACGCAACAAAGTATGCGATGTATGACATGATTCTAACGGAAAATCGTATCTGTAGGCCAGGTGTTCGCTACGCCGTTAAGCCTGATGGATATTATACGTGGTCATGTAAGTATAGACGGCTTTGGCATCTGTGGCTTCTTCTTTTCCCACTGAACATTGCCCTTTGTCTCGTTAAGAGAGTCATGCGCTGCGCATGCTCAGTTATCAGCTTGACTTTAGCCAGGTGTTCTGCATAGTGATAAGTCTCTTGGATAGTAAAATGAAACCGTCATTAACAGAAATGATTATGCGTGTATACTGACGGATTGGGTTGTTAAGTGGAGCCGGGATAATCCGGCCGATATAGTGATTAGGCTACGGGCTGGACGACCGAGTAAGCCGGGTTCGATTTTCGGCAGGGACAAGATATTTCCTCTTTTAATGTTTGAATCCCCTTGTATGTCGTGATTTGTGTTATTCTGGCTGTGAACACAATAACATAAATCAATAAAATTGTTTACATTGGTTTTATATAATAACTTCTACATATTTAGGTCCTGTTAACAGATGATGGCAGATGTACGCGTGAAATTAAATCTAGGATTGCCATGGCAAAAGCTGCATTTAGCAAGAAGAAGAATCTTTTTACTAGCAAATTGGACTTAAATTTGAGGAAGAAACTAGTGAAATGCTACATTTGGAGCATTGCTTTGTATGGGGGCTGAAACATGGACACTTAGGGCAGTAGATCAGAAACATCTGGAAAGTTTCGAAATGTGGTGTTGGAGAAGGATGGAGAAGATCAGTTGGACCGATTATGTGAGAAATGAAGAAGTGTTATTTGGAGTCATTGAGCAGGGGAATATCCTACACGAAATAAGAAAACGGAAGGCTAATTGGATTGGTCATATCTTACGCAGAAACTGCCATCTAAAAGAAGTTATTGAAGGAAAGATAGAGGGGCGGATAGAAGTGACCAGAAGACGTAAGAAGATGCTGGATGACCTTGGAGATAGAAGAGGATATTCTCATTTGAAGGAGAAAGTTGAGATCGCATCAAGTGGAGGAAGTGTTTTGGAAGAGACTGTGGACCTGTCGTCTTGACAGATTACAGATGAATGAATGAATGAATGTTTCGGTCCATATTTAGGACCATCTTCAGGTACTTTTCATTAAATACATCTCACGTTATTGAAATGTCCTAATCTGGATCAATATTAGTGTTAATCATTATAATCATAATACACATAATCGTTATTAAATACATAAAATTTTTTAATTTTAATTTTTTTAAAACAAAAATGAACAAAACATGGAGAAGAGGAATGCGTATAGGATATTGGTGGGAAAGCCAGAAGAAAAAGGACCACTGGCAAGACCAAGACGTAGGTGGGTGGACAATATTAAAACGGATCTTAGAGAGATAGGCTGGGATAGTATGGATTAGATTGCTCTGGCTCAGGATATGGACAAGTGGAGGGCTCTTGTGAACACGGTAATGAACCTTCGGGTTCCATAAAATGCTGGGAAATTCTTGAGTAGCTGCAGAATGTGCGGCTCCTCAAGAAGGGCTCAGCTCCATAAATAAATATCAGTGTGAGAATCTCTTATACAAATCTGTAATATTTTTCTTTGAAATTTCAACGAAATTTGTGCTGGTCTGTACACAATAATGGCGTGACTTTCCGTCCATTGAATGGCTTTAACTTTCAATTTACGTTGCCATGGTACGACCCACTTTCACCGAAGACTGTAGCATTATTTCCTTATATACATTTTAATCTCAGTCAATAATGAATAATTCGTGCTACATGTATATCGTATATTTGTGTGTGTGTGTTAAAAGCCTGCCTAAAACATCACTTTCCTTTCGCAGCTATAAATATAGTGGATTGATTCATACAGTTTGTGGAAGTTAGACTGATTGCGTGTCATCCAAGCAGGTTACAACAGTCAACTTCAGGTAGCAGAGTCCATGTTTAGAAGCTGATAGCTATTGGCGTTGTCAAGAAACTCCCTTTTCTTTATGAAACCCAGCGGTTAATTAAAGTGTTCTCAAAATCCCGCTGCTGGTTCATATCCTTAACCAGATTAATTCAGTCCTTCACCCTCGTAACTTGTTTCATGATTATCCGTTTTAATATTATCATCACATATACGTCAAAATCACCCAAATGTTCTCATTTCAAGTTCTACTACTACTACTACTACTACTAATACGAGTAAATTATACAGTTCTCATATTCGCCTTGCTTGCTACATGTCCCACTTATCCCTTTTGGTTTTGTCACCCTAATAACATTTGGTGGCCTATCACAGTAGCCGCGCCGTCTAAGGCATGAAGTGTCTTCGCTCGCTCAGACGCTTGGATCCTGGGTTCGGATCCCATTGAAGGCATGGATGTCTGTGTTCATTCTGTGTTTGTGTTGTCCTATGTGTAGGTAGATGGCCTGAATGAACTGGAGGAGCCATTGAAAGAAATCATTTGGTGAAGACTGTTGTCACGTGTTTCCGACTAGACACGGGTTTTGAATTGGTAATTGGATTTATTGAAGGCTTAAGCACAATAGACCAGTGCTGTCCAACGTTCTTATGTACTCGGGCACAATTCACTGATGCCTATCGAGGTGCGGGCGCCACCACACTACTACTACTACTACTGCTACTACTACTACCACTACTACTACTACCACTACTGCTACTACTACTACTACTACTACTACTACCACTACTACTACTACTACTACCAATAATAATAATAATAATAATAAAATTTTTCGAAAATATTTTACAGTACTCAGACGTTCAAAAATGTCTCTTGTCTTACAATTTGAATTAATATTAAAAATCTGCTCAATTGTATGTGGTTACGGAGGGCGCCAGAAAAATATACCACGGCGCGGGCGCCGCGTTGGACAGGGCTGCAATAGACCATTGAAGGTCGCAGCGCTACTGTCAGTTTTATGGCTCATCCCTCATACTCATGCTCAAATTGAAGGCTCTGTGGTCTAGTGGTCAGAGTTCCTGGTTTCAGATGCAGAGGTCCCGGGTTCGATTACCGACGCTACCAGATTTTCGGAGAAGTAGTGAGTCTGGAACGGGGTCCACTCAGCCTCGTGAGGATAATTGAGGAGCTATTTGAAGGAAATAGCGGCTCCGGTCTAGAAAACCGAGATTAACGGCTGTGGGGATTCGTTGCGCTGACCGCGTGACACCCTCTATCCGCTAAAGTTGGCACTAACTTCGCTGTCAAGCGGCGGTCGCTCAGTCGGTATAGTTCGCTTGCGGACTACAAGCCACGGAGTTTGTTTGTTATAACTCGTAGCTACGAAGAGTCAGAGTGAGAATTACTTTTTGAATGCCGATCAGTTCCTCACGTAATCATCAGTGTAGAATAAAAACAGATGTATTCTATTTAATTTCTGTCCCTCGTGATTTTTTCGGTGCTTCTAATGTTGTATTCTAATGATAAATTAAGGAAGAATGTAGATAGATCATTCCTTCATTTAATATAATTCTGAACATAAATTGTCTAGGAATTAAGAACGTAGTGGAATGATCTATTTTGTCTGTTTAATTACATGTATGATCTACAAGTTACATAACTGTATACATACCAGGCTGTTTGAAGAACCAGCCTAATGCCAACAAGTCACGTCACAGTACCATTAGAAACTTTTGTGGGCTAACGGATGTTTGTTCTTTAGACGTTAATTAGCTCATTCGTTATACGCCGATGTCGTTTCTTCGTCTTGCTTTTGCATTCTGAAATAAGGTAGTGACATTGAATCAAATCCATGACATGTCTACACATTTGAAGTTTATGTAATCGTCTTTAATTGTAAGTTGATGCAAACGACATTAATTGCATAGGATTCGTGTAAGAGAGCACCTTCATGCGGTGAAGCTGAGACTTATAGGACCTCTACACAATTATTTTCAAGGTAAACTTTATCTAAGATCCTCTCACGAATTTAAGGGTTTCACTATATACTGGGTATAGATTGGATATTGGATTTATTGATCACTTGTAAGCACCACTCGTAACTACACGCAATTACAGCGCCCAGATCACCACAGCAATCGCTAAGCCTTTTTCCAGCCTGCTATATCTTCAATAGCCGTTTACTAGTAACGGCTTCTAACAGTGGAGATTCTTCAGCTTCGCGCATCATATAAATCATCAGAGGTGGAAGTACGGGGGAGGCATTCTTTGGTATCGTTGGAAGTGAAAATGTACATATATTTATTCCCATTAAATTTTACCCTCAGTTTTCCCCATATCTCCCTGAGGAAGTCCTGCGATCTCTTCCTTTGTTAACAATAGAAACTAGCCGAGTGTGACTAACAGTACTTATTCAATAAGAAGGATAGGCCTACATGTTTGCAACTAGGTGACTTCTCACGTGAATCATTGATAGCATCTCGTTAAGTCAGTGCCTTAAGACATCTGGACTGGCCATCTATTGATAACTGAACTGAGTTTTATGAGCTTTATAAGGTAAGTAAGTATGTACACAGTTCTATCAGTTGGTAGCTCAGGTTTGGAGCACACCCGTAATTGTAACGTGCACCGCTTTCTGTTTTCCGTTTTGCCGTCTACTTCGGTGGGAGCCACGCCAATGGAAATCGCCGATTTAATCGACCTAGTAATAGAGGACGTCTCGTTTAAGACTGGACTATTTTTTTTTATTGCTAGTGGGGTGGGACTAAGTCCCTTGCACTGCGGCCACTTCTGGCCTATTGTACCAGCCCCAGATGATAGGTGAGGGTGATTGTGGAGCAGTTGGTGGAATGAAGATCGGCAGGGGAAACCGAAGCACTCGGAGAAAACCTGTTCCGGGATTGAACCCGGGCCGTCGCGGTGGGAAGCCAGCGACTAACCGCTTGAGCTATGGCGCTGCCTTGCTTACTTTCTTAAGCTGCTTCCCTGAAACCGTTTTCAGACCACCTGGTTGTCCTCGGGCCGCAGTTTGAGAAACAGATTAGAGGATCAATGTGAAAGAAATCTTACGAATGGGCGTTATGTCTACGTCATGTTGAATACCTTCATAAAGGCGAAAGTAGAAAGCGATTAGCCAATGGAAGGCGGCACGCTCTCTGACATTGACTGTTTCATTTGTTATCTGAAATCTTGTAACCATACAAATATGCTCATTATCGACGTCATGGAATTACAAATGATGGCTGATGAAACGCCTGGAAACGTAGTCCATCAATGAAGATTTCTATCTTCTGGGATATGACGCCGTGTAGTCCGTCGAAAATCAGCCGACTTTTGGCTAAATATGTGCACCTTCTGTGATGAAAATTTGTTTTCAACAGGGGTTAAGAATACAGTGCCCTCTAAACATAGAAGCCTCTGTCAGCGCCGCCTGAAAGTCCATCCCTTAACTACTACTACAGACTTCTGTTGGTTGACAGGCTCATAATATCGCAGCTATACTTAGGCTTTATATTTATATAGATTAGGAAAGTTGTAATAATTTTGACTGCCCCTTTGATCTAGTGGTCAAAGGTCCTGTGTTCCGATTCTACCAGACTTTATGAGAAGTAGTGGGCCTGGAACGGGTTCCACTCAGCCTCGTGAGCATAATTGAGGAGCTATTTTAATGAAATAGCGGCTCCGGCCTAGAAAAACGAAATTAACGGCTGTGGGGATTCGTTGCGCTGACCATGCGACACCCTCTATCCGCTAAAGTTGGCACTAACTTCGCCGACAAGCGGCGATCGCTCAGTCGATATAGTTCGCTTGCGGACTATAGGCCACGGAGTTTATAATGATTTTAAGGGGAGCTTTACTTAGATACCGTGAGCTTACAGCGGATTGTATATGTGTAATGTGGTCAGTGTGTTTGTGTCTGAAGTAAAACGTGCAGGGTCAGTTAAGGATGTATAGGAGATACAGCCTTAGACAAAAGTAGCTTAAATTCCAAGTTAACGGATATATGCAATTTACATGTCTTGAATGAAATCAGAAGTGACATGATAATCATTTTTATTTCCACTTTTTTTGGCTACATTTATCACTTACGTAACTTATTATATAGTAAAAGCGGCCTCCGTAGCCTAGGGGTAACGTTCCCACATCATGACTCAAGGTACTCGGGTTCAAACCCGGCGGAGCTCGTGGAATTTTTAAGGGCGGAAAATTTCAGGGAACAAGTCCTCCGGGAGGGACTTTAAGCCGTGGGTCCCGTGTCGTAGCTTTACGGCACGTAAAAGAACCTCATATCTCCAAAGGAGGTCACTGAGCCAAATTCAA